CTCTCTCTCTCCCTCTCTCTCTCTCTCTCTCTCTCTCTCTCTCTCTCTCTCTCTTTCTCTCTCTCTCTCGCTCTCTCTCTCTTTGGGCGCTAGAAACTTCGCTCGTCGGAAACTTTGGCTATGCCAAAAGAAGACTCAAAAGAAGAAGAAGAAGGGGGGAGGAAGAAGAAGAAGAAGAAGAAGAAGAAGAAGAAGAAGAAATGGAAGAAGAAGAAGAAGAAGAAGAAGAAGAAGAAGAAAATCTAAGATAGATAAAACCACTTATCTTCACCGGTGGACGACGGGGCGGGGGAGGCCATGGCGTGCCGTGCCCGACATGACAAGGGTCGCAGTCAGTAGTCGGGTGCTTTCCCGCACTCGTCACTGCGACGAAGTGTCGAAGTGATGAGGAAGGCTTCCTCCAGGGCTGCGGGGGCCGACGCTGGCCAGTCCAACTTCGGGTGGTTTCCCGCCCGAATCTTGAAAAACTGGCGGCCTATCTTGGCCGCCGATCTCATCAGATCGACGACCCAGATAGGCCGCCAGTTTTTCAAGATTTTGGCGGCCACACTGGACCCGGTTTTTTTTGGGGGGGGGCCGGGAAGCTTCCACGACCCGCAGGGAGGCCTCCTGGCCCCCGAAAAAATTCAAAATTCGCCCCTACCCGTGGGCTCGATTTTCCACCGGGGGGGAACCGGCGAGGTCCACCGGTCCGGTTCCGGTGGGGGAAGGGCCCCCCGATAGGACCGGAAATTCAGCCCTGTTTTAATTAAAATTTTTATTTTAAATTTGGTAAGGAATTGAGATGTGACCCTGAGCATGGTCCCATTAGCAGTCGGATAGGAGTGTGGCCGATCCACTGTGACACTGAATGGCTGCGGCATGACAGGTTCATTACGAATTTCCGGGGTGAGAAAACAGGAGAAAGGCAAAAAAAACCAAAAAAACAGAGACCTCCCACCTGAAATCACCGCAGAGTGCTTCCCAACCATCAGATCACAAATGATCTGATGGTGGTGGTTGCAACAGCAGTGAACAAAGTAACTGCCACATTTTTTGGAATAAACTCAACCTCTGTCAGCAGTGATCTTGACGCCCTCCATATACTCCATGATTGAAGGAGGGCTCCACCCAATGAGATAATTGCACAACAGCAAGCAAAATACTGAAAATCTTCTATCCAATGGGCCTATGGATGACCCCACTCTCTTTTGGGGTTAGCCATACCCCCAACGGATTGAAAAGAGCGGGAAGCTTCCTTTGCACCAGCAAGCCCAGTGTTAAGGAGAGGAGGAGGGGAACGAAGATCTCCTTACTTTTTCGGGTAATACAAGTAAAATACTGACCATGGGATCACGAGTACTGCACGGCAGAATTTGGGTCACTCAACTGCCTCACAAACTCGTTTCTATCCTATCCCGTTGCTAGTGGGACCTCGCCCCTTGAGGCAAAAGTTGTTCAATTTATTTTTCTGCATAACATATTGTTTTTTCAGATTTTTTGGATTTTTTTTTTTTTGGTTGGGATGTTCTTGGTCTTGGCATGGCCGGGCCACCTGGGCAAACAAGGTGATCCGGGCGGTCCAGTTGGTAGCTTAGGTGTCAGCTTCATAATCCAGTAGAAAGAGGCCGAGTGGGCCGGACTGAGTGGCTACCGCCAAACATCAGACCCGGACCGATTGGGCACCACCAGATGCTAGCACTAGACGGCCTGAAATGCCTATCAGTTTGGGCATGATAAACCCTAACAGTTTTCAGGTGGGCCATATCTACCTATTATCCCAGGTTAAACCCTACGGTACTTCTGCCTCTCTCCTTGTTCACGCTCCCAGAGAGAAGTAAATCCGTGTTGCCTTGAGGAGAGGCAACGTTGTGAAGATTATTTTCACGAGGGAGCTTTTGGCAAGCTGACCCTTTTTTCTTTTTTTTCGGAAAGCTGACTCTTCAAGCAAGTGTGTTGCTTGACATTTGTTTTTTTGGGGATTTTTCTTCATGTATTCTAGAGTCAGTGATCAATAGGAACTTATCAAAAAGATGAAAAATTAACAACCACACCTTTCGAGGTTTCAAGGGACCCAACGTTGATCGCATTTCGACGTCCAAGGTGGCGAAAATGACGACCAGGGGGCGCGGCGGAGCGCTACCGGGAGCGCTCCGCCGCCTGGAGGTCCCTGCACTCCGGGACTGTGATTGTGACGCAGCGTAGGCCTTGCGGTGAACAGGAAAGCGCGGTGGTGGCCATCGCCTGGTGCGGCAAGAGCAAGCTATGAGGGGGCGGTGGGAGTTTTGTTTTTGGATAGAGGTTGGCAAGGCGAGGGGTCATGAAGTCTCGCCGCGTCATTG